CTGATAAAGGTTGCTTTTGATTCACCTTCAGTTGATTTGATTAGAGAATCCATTTTACCTTCTATGAGATCAAAATGTGGTCCATTCATTTGATTCATAGTGTCAGATTCCTCAGTAGAGTTCACCATCATATCATATTGCCCCTGCTCAATAAGAGGTGAATATGTGAGTCCAAGCATCCGCATATGTATGATGTGAAACTACCAGAAAGGAAGAAATGTGCAGGAAAAAAGAAGGAAAATACTTGATGAAATATAGGAAACATCATTTACTACACTACTAACATATCATGATGTTCACCTACTGGCTTAGTCAAGTTTCATGAGCCTTAAGCTTTAATGGGTTTTCATGATATCTTGTATAAATTAAAAGAAAAAGTCCAGAAGAGACGCCAAAACAAACCTCCAAGTTTCTAGAATTGGAGTTACTGCAGGAGTGATCTATTGAATTCTCTAGAGAATCCTGTGGATTGGGAATAAACGGGGTCTCTTGAAGTAATACGGTCCTCGGAGACGAGAGTGAACCTGTAGCAATAGAAACTTGTTCAATCTCTAATCTTGGATGCATGGATGATGAAGGACAATTAAATCTCTGCTCTTCTGTAGGGATAATATTTTCTAGAACATCTTTTTCATCTCTACTGTCCTGAATTGGTTTCATGATATCTTCGCCTTCAACTGCCTCTGGTATGTCACCAACATTATGTTGATTGAGCTTTTCAAGATCTTTTCCCCTATCTCCAGTAAACTCTAAATTTCTATTATCTTCTATAATTTTCTCATATGCCATAATGCCTTGATCATAAGACCATTCAGAATTGATTGGATTATATTCACCGGGTACAGAATTAATCACAACTTCAGCTGGTCTTTCCAGATCCCTTGAAGCCTCTTGCTCAATAAATATATGGGTTCCATCACTATTTTCAGTTGGTTTTGATTCTACTGTGTTGGTATTTACATGGATTATTGGCTCGACATCATGACTGTTCCTCGCCTCCACTGCAAACTTCTCTTGAGGTTTACGTAATTCCTGTTTAAGAGTCAAAGGTTGCAATTGTCAGCACAATAATCATTTTCCTGACATTTTAGAGATCACCAACTAATTGCAAGCACATCCCATGAAATTCCTTAGATGATAGATTTTATTTTTCCACATCTTCGTATAAAGAATGTAAAAATGAGTAATAATATAGTATCTAAGCAATGAGGAAAACCTGATGTCATTTGTTTGGTTCAAAATTACTGCATCTTTTTCCTAGCCAACCAAATCAATAAAAGCACTACATCTACTCCGAGTAGCTTGAATGTTTATGATAATTTGTTTCATTCCAGTAGCTCCCTTACAGAGAAGGACGCTGCTGCTTATGAATGTATCTAGGCCTTCTTTAAAAATTCTCTATGTTAAGAAAAAAAGGACAGCTAACCTTTGGCTTCTCGAAATTAACTTCAGAAGATGAGTGAACCACGAAGTCTTCAATTATTCTATTTCTTAAACTTCTAGGAGATGATTCATTTGAGGGATTGGACATTCTGGATACCTCAACTTCTTTGAGTGTTGGCTCCACACCTTCATTGTTTGGATGATTGATATTCGTTGGAAAGGATTGACTGTTTTCAGTTGTTCTAGATTCCGAAGATAATGAAACTGTACCATTCACATTTTGCCTGGCTTCCAGCTCTAACAGTGTTGGTAATACAATTGAATCCTCAAGCTTCTTGTTCCAATCTGTTAGTCCATCAAAAGTGTGCTCCTCGTTAGTCTTGTGCAATTCTCTTGATATGGATCCTTTTTCCTCTCCTAATTTTTCTTCACTATTTGGAGTGATATCCTTTTCAACATCTGCATCATATGTGACTGTATCTTCATCACAAAATGAAGCAGCTCCATCAGTCAGCGCCATTAGTCGAGGTGAGCCACCCTCTGAGACTTCAACTTGCAAGTCAGAAGCTACAGAATATGTAGGGGTGTGACAAGAAACCTTGAAAAATGAACAATTATCCAGTCTTGACTTGTCATTTGCTGTTGGACTAGGATCAAATGGAAGTCTATCCAGAGATATACCCTTAGGAGGGACTACCTGGACGAGGGCTCTCTGCACATGATCACTAAGCACTTGTGGAAACTTTTTTTTGTTTAAGATCATTTCACTAGCATCAGATGAAGAAGATGAAGAAGACTTGTTATCTTTTATGGAATCAGTCTCAGTTTGGACCTCAAGTTCATTAGCTAAACTTGGCTCAAACCCATTAGAATCTTCTGTTTTTTCTCCTTCAATTTCAATGAAGCTATTCTTATTCATGTTATGTTCTTCATGAGGCAGTTCCTCTGAGTTCATCACCTGGGTAGGATCTAAGCTTTCAAGTTGAACAAGATCGGTGGCACTTCCCATGCTGGATGACATGTGATGTTCATGATCTCCCTTATCTGTAAGTGGGATAGAATTTAATTTAGATCTCAAAGCAAATAATCACCCTAATTTTCTTTAAAACGGATTAGTAAAGTAAGAAACTACTTAAAAGGATCTTTACCCAAGGTGATAATTTTCCCTTACCCAATTGCCTCCCGAACGTGGAGTTCCTAGGGCTTTGTACAATATTTTCCTCAGTACTAAAACAAAGGTCTAACTGTGGATCCTGAAGATCATGTTTGGGCTCAAATGGGAAAAATGGTCCATGACAAAAGCTCTCATGGCGGCAAAAGAAGATATCCTTCTGATGGGAAGCCATGAATTCTTGCTGAAAGCTGTCTCCTGTAAGATTCGGTTTTTCCTCATATGGATCGTAGGGAAGATCAAATGGACTTCGTCCCGGTAACAAGATTGAAGGGGCAGAACCGGGCATATGTAGCCCACCTTGATCAGGATTCTTTTTATCATCAAAAGGCCTGCTTCTTGCAACAAAAATTGGAGCAATTTGATCTGGATGAGCACTATCCATGTCCACCAGACTTTTCTCAACTGCCATTCTGAACAAATTTCTTGCTCTTCTTCTTGCAATCAAACTCTCCAACCTATTGTTTCTTTCTAACTCGGAAAACCCAAGATCCATGAGATTCTTCTGATCATCCTCTGTCCATTCAACAGCCTTATTTCCATCATCTTGCACCTCTTCTTCATCCTCATCCTCTGCATCTTCCATGCTTTCCACCTCAGCCTCATCACCACCAGAAACCTTTTCAGACTGCTTATCAAGTCCATCACGCCAAATAGGATTAGACTTTGATTCTTCAGAATCAAAGAGTAGGCTACGATCTTCATCTGCTTGATTATTTTCATTTGCAATATTTGAGGCAGCCTCTCCATTTTCCAAAGCAGAACTTCCTTCCCCCTCCCTAACTTGTGTGTGCTTTTCCTTGAACAAACTGTTCCTACCCAATATTTCATCTAAAGGATTAGTCAAAGTAATAATATTACCTTGAGCATCACATTCTATGTTTTCCTTTCTGACATTTCGTCGAACACTTTTTTGACTTCGAAATGAAGGGTTAGCACTTTTTTTTACCCCATCATTATGGGGATCAACAGATGATTTTTCACTATCTTCCTTCTCAACCCTCGCAGCATTTTGCCTTTTGGAATTCAATCGAACACGAATGAAAAATGCAACGCTAACTAGAACAGGGGAAGTTAACACCAAAATGAAGAAAACAGAAGGAAGAAACAAGTACAGGAGGAAGAAGACGAACAAAACACCTGAAACAACTGGATGTTTCAGCACACATTTATAGAAACTATTCGTAAAAAATCTAATAATCCTCCATAGAAGAACTCGAATCCCCTTCACATTGAGACTCATTTTTATTTCCTTCAACCAATTCAACCAAATTCCTCTTAACATAAACAAATTTGCAACCAACTCAGAATCAATAAAGGAGACTAATTTGAAAAGATAACCAAAAACCCACATCTAAAGACACGAAAAATATGCACAAAATGAGTAAAAAAAAGGAGGGTTGGGGAATTAAAGCTATTTCTTTTCAAATCAAAATGCAAGAAATTGGGGACAGATGAGGATGAGAAGACACGCGAGATTAGATTTTACCCAAAAATGAAACCCAGTCAAAAAAAAAAAAAAAATGATTTGGCAGTCAAGATTGGATGTGGGTTTTCATTTTTAGAAATCGATTTTTGGTGGAAAGCTCAGTTTGATCCTGTTATTCAGGACTTCCTCTCTTCTTTTAATTTTCCCTTATTCAAGGAGATAGATAGAACAAAATAGAAAACTGGTATTCTGTTATTTTATTGTAGTAAGAACAAGCATGATTTTTATCAAAAAAAAAAAAGAAAAAAGAACAAGCATGATTTTGACTTGGGGCCTTTAATTTCTCCCTGTTAAAAATTTCAACCCTATACTTTTTGCATATACTTTTTGCAACCTTCCAAAGTTTTCTTGGGAAATAGTGTTCCTCAGCTTTTATTCAACCGAAAAACTCTTTCAAATCTCTAATTGTATGGAAGTTTTATTACTCTATAAAGAATTCAAAATAAATTTGAGGAATATAAATAACTTTTACTTCTTTTAGTATAAATAAACTCTTTCAAAAATAAAAACTTTTTACTTAAAACTAATTAATAATTATCTTTGAAGACTTTTTGCCTAAAACTAATAAAGGTTTTTATTTTTTATAACCTATGAAAATTGTGCATATGGGCTCAATGTTTGCATCCAAGCTAAAACCAATTAGTTATAGGTAGAGTGACTTTCCTTGTATTTAACTCACAAGCTCCTTATTTTTATATTCAATGTAAGATTTTTCCACTTAACACGCCCCGTGCAGGCCCACTATAAATGTCGAGTCTATTAGGTGGGTGAACAACAGGCTTCCCAATACAGAATTTGGGCTCTGATATCATGCAAACATTCGTATGGAGACTTATTATTGATGACCGATGATGGAATCTGATTAATGAGATAAATAGCTATAAGAGCAGCTTCACCCCAAAATCGCTCAAGACAAGAAGACGAAATGAGTAAAGCACGAACATAATTAATGATGTGTCTGTGTTTATGTTCGACTTGCCCATTTTGTTCAGAAGTGTAAGGACAAGATTGTTGTGCCAGTGTACCTTGTTTTTTCAAAAAGGATTGAAGTTTAATACTAAGATATTTCGTGGCATTGCCAGTTCTCAAAACTTTGATAATTTTAAAGAAGTGGGTTTTGACAATTATAACAAAATCAATATAAATTTGTGACAACTCAGAGCAATTTTTCATAAAATATATCTAGGTAAAACGAGTATGATCATTAATAAATAACACAGAATACCTGGAACCCCCCATGGTAGGTGTCGGAGATGGACCCTAAATATCAAAATGCACGAGATCAAAAGAAGCAGCAGAAAGAGAATGACTACTAGTAAATGATAAAGTTGGTTGTTTTGCAGATTGACATGACACATAATACAAAGATTTATTTAGAACATATCTTAATAAACCATAGGAAATAAGAGAACGGTGTTTATCGATTGAGATGTGTTCAAGCCGTGAGTGCCATAAATGAAGAGGAAAATATTTAGTAGCAACATAGGTTTGGAAGATTTGTTGGTCTAAGTGTCTAACATTATTAGATTTTTGCAAAAAAAAGAAAAAGAAAAAAGAAAAAAAATATTTTATAATTCAAATACAAAATTTATAGTCCGTGTCATAAATAAAGAGGAGAAATATACAATCTAAACTATTTTTGTATCTGAATTATAAAATAAATTTTTTTTTCCTTTTTTTTTTCGCAAAAATCTAATAATGTTAGACACTTAGACCAACTAACGAAGCCCATTAGACTTGTGAAAGTGGAGCCGAATTCTGCCAAAAAAAAAAAATCCAAAGCAGCGGCCCTAATCTCACCAACAACGTGGTCATCCATTCATCAATCAGCACCAATCACGTGGTCGTCAACCTCAGCCTGTCTCCCTCTCCCACATCACCATCCACATAATCTTCAACTTCCCCACCACACGTGTTAATTACCAATCCCACTCACGCAGCTCCGCGACACACCCAAAACTTCCCCACTTCTTCAGGCGGGCCCGCTTTTTGACACAAGGAATGTCAACCGTTGAAAACTCACCGTTGACCGGATATCCAACGGCACACGTTGAACGCTGTTTCCACCCCGTAATATCTCATTCTTCCCTATCTCATAAACTTCTTCGGGAATAATAATATAAATAATAATTTGTTGAATTTATATTGTATATTAAATATATTTTTTTATATTAAATTTATATCAAAAATAAAATTTAATTTTTAATTTATTAATTATTTAATTAAATTTATTTAACATTAAAATTAATTTTAATTTTTATATATTTTATATACATTTATAATAAAAATATATTTTTTTATGTATATCCCATTAGTAATATATGCCCTAGCGGCAAAAAGTTAGAAAAAACCTATTAATTCGTATTTTGTTTTGTACTTTTATTTTTTATTTTTTATTTTGTTTTTCTAGGGTTCGGAAAATGTCGTCGGTGGAATTTCTCCGGCAACCGATGATTCAGAATAGATTCTACAACAATTCATATTCGAATCTTCTCTATTTACATGGGTTGAATTTCTGTAGGCAGCAGTCTAGAGTTTTTCAGCTGAGCGCGAGCGGTTTTGTCTCTAATTCTATCCATGTTTCGCCGATAAACTTGACCGTTGGTCGGAGTCACGAAAGATTCAAACTTTACGGTGGATTTTGGAGGAGAGGAGGAGTAGGATTGAAGAAGAGTAGGATTTTGGCTAATTGTCAAGATAGCGACTCAAATGCGAGCTCGAGCACTAGCGAGAAGAGTGAGAGTGAAGGGCAGGCTGTGAAACAGAACCCCCAAAATTCTGGGTCTTCGGGTAATCGGAGGAGAGAGAAGAGCGGAAAACGGGGGTTATGGTGGTCCAAGGGTAGGAAGTGGCAATGGCAGCCGATAGTTCAGGCTCAGGAAATTGGGGTTTTGGTTTTGCAGTTGGGTATTGTTATGTTTGTTATGAGGTTGCTCAGACCCGGAATTCCGTTACCTGGTTCGGAGCCAAGAACTCCGACGACGTTTGTGAGCGTACCGTACAGTGAATTCCTGAGCAAAATTAATAGTAATCGGGTCCAGAAAGTGGAGGTTGATGGGGTGCACATAATGTTCAAGTTGAAGGGTGAGGCCAATGCCCCAGAGAGTGAAGTTGAATATAGTAAGTTGCAAGAATCAGAGTCCTTGTTGAGAAGCGTGGCACCCACAAAGAGGATTGTGTATACTACCACGAGGCCCAGTGATATAAAGACTCCATACGAGAAGATGCTAGAAAATGATGTGGAGTTTGGTTCGCCGGACAAACGATCTGGTGGATTCTTCAACTCTGCTCTGGTAAGTTGGTGGATTCATTATATATTATGCCTTGTATGTATAATGCGGGGGTGGGGGAAGCTGCTTCTTTGCTTATTTTAATGATGGGTCATTAGATTGGTTGAGGAAGTGCTCTAAGGGATAATGAGATATAGCAATTGTTTTCTAGAATCATTTATTTCATATGTATTAGATTCGGATTTTTATGTCTTGCAGATACCTTTGTTTTATGTTGCTGTCCTGGCTGGGCTTCTCAACCGTTTCCCTGTAAGCTTTTCTCAGGTAAAAGTTGGCTTGTGAATTCTTAAATGTCTTGAGATTAATGTTGTGATGTTAATTTCTTAGTTAATTTATGCATGCAGCATACAGCTGGTCATATTAGGAACCGCAAATCTGGGGGTTCTGGTGGTGCAAAAGTGTCAGAACAAGGTGAAACAATCACGTTTGCTGATGTTGCTGGTGTTGATGAGGCCAAGGAAGAGCTAGAAGAAATTGTGGTATGTTAGAGTTCCTCTACACCATTTTTTCTGTTAATTGTTATTTAGACTTTGTTTCAAATGGTTTCTACTCATTCAGGAAATGTTTTAAATATACTGATGAACTGTACCAGGAGTTCCTTAGGAATCCAGACAGGTATATTCGACTTGGTGCTCGTCCTCCCCGAGGAGTTCTCCTGGTGAGTTGAAGCTCAGACTATTTAACAGTGTGAACTAATGAAAATATATGGGCTTAAACTTTAGCAATATGCTAGTAACAGTGCCCATCACTGGGGCGAGACCTGAAATTTGGTGTCTGCTACATTGGATATATCCTCAACCTCAACCAGTACCAGAAAATTTTAGGTTCCTCTAAAATTTTTTTAGTTGTCATTCTAATTTTAGCATGTCTGAGTTTGTAAACCAAAACTAGATGATGGGTTGCAGGAGGTTGGTGATACAGCCTGCCAGAGTTACTCTTTTTTGTAAAATTTAAGATATAATTCAGATGTTTGGTTTTATTTGTCTCTCAGGTTGGTCTTCCTGGGACAGGTAAGACTCTTCTAGCGAAAGCTGTTGCCGGTGAGGCTGAAGTGCCATTCATAAGTTGTTCTGCTAGTGAGTTTGTAGAATTGTATGTTGGCATGGGTGCTTCCCGTGTTAGAGATCTATTTGCACGAGCAAAGAAGGAGGCACCATCAATAATTTTTATTGATGAGGTGAGAATGTGGGTTATATGATTTAAGTGTGGATGCTAGCTTTTGGACTTTCACTAGAAAGTGAGTGGGACTTCTCCTCGTGCAGATAGATGCCGTGGCTAAAAGCCGTGATGGTAAATTTCGTGTCGTTAGTAATGATGAACGGGAGCAGACTTTGAACCAGTTGCTCACTGTAAGCTTCCCTGCATGGTATTGTTTCTGCCTATTGAACTTATTAGCCATATCCTTTTCAAGCTAAAACTTCTGCAATTGCATTACAGGAAATGGATGGGTTTGACAGCAATTCTGCTGTGATTGTTCTTGGAGCTACAAATCGTTCTGATGTCTTAGATCCTGCCCTTCGCCGACCAGGAAGATTTGATCGCATTGTCATGGTCTGTGTGACATTCAATTGTTTAGCCAACTCAGTACTCACTGATTATTTTGTTTCTTTCTTGTAAACAAGTTCCTTCCTGTTGAATGAGTTATCTCAAGAATATTATGCCTCACATGGTTAATAGGTGGAGACACCTGATAGGATTGGGAGAGAAGCTATTTTGAAAGTTCATGTTTCTAAGAAAGAGCTTCCTCTAGGAGAGAATGTTGACCTTGGTGACATTGCCTCTATGACTACTGGCTTTACTGGGTATTTTCTGCATACCCTCTTGTATTATTTATAAGCCAATTTGTCCTGCTTTCCCCTTCTTAAGTCTTATTTTTATTTGTTCTTATCATGGTGAGAATAACTTTTGATTTTTAACATCTTGCAGGGCAGACCTAGCAAATCTGGTGAACGAAGCTGCTTTGCTTGCTGGAAGAAAGAACAAAGTTTCTGTGGAAAGAATTGATTTCATTCAGGCAGTAGAGAGATCAATAGCTGTAACTTTCTCTCCCTCTCTCTCAATTTCTCTCTGGAATAACCAAAATGGTTAGTTATATTTAAAACTGATGAGTAAACAACTCAATTGGAAGTTGATTGACATCAAACAAATTACTTCTTATAGGGAATAGAGAAGAAAACTGCCAAGTTGAAAGGAAGTGAGAAGGCTGTAGTTGCAAGGCATGAAGCAGGTCATGCAGTGGTAGGTACAGCTGTTGCAAAACTTCTACCTGGACAGCCACGTGTTGAGGTAAATTGGAAAACTTTTACTGAGTGTTCTGAGTTTCTTCTTTCTTTTATTATTACCTTGGTATCACATTGGAAAATGTTGAACCCTTGGTTGTGAGTGACTTGGTCTGATAGGTAGCTTGCCAATGTTCTTCTCCTATGCCAGAGATGGTCAGCGTGCACTAATATCATAGGTCACTACTTGCAACTTGGGAGATAATTTACATGAAATCTAAATTCCTTTTGAGACTTGATATAGTATGGACTAGGTACAGTGTATAAGGTCAATAATTGTTAGTTGTTTAGGATGGATAGTCTTTAAATTGGAGATTAGTGTACAGAAATCTCCTATATTCTTAAGAAGGCTAGTCTCACTTGTTTGTTTTTCCCCTTTTTTTCTTATTTTCTGGAGGTGGGGAAGAGTAGGGATTTGGGATGAGAATGGGCTGTTGATTAATTTTTCTTGGGTGATTCTGATATTCGTATAAAGAGCCATTTTTTAATAATAATTAAGAGCTGTTTAGAAATGCTGCAGAATTTTTTTCTGGAGCATTACATTTCCACATATCATGCAAGAAAATTAACTTGTCCAACTGCACCACAACACCCCCTCACCACCCCACACCACGCCCCCCCCCACCAAAAAAAAGGTATGAAGCCATATTCATGTGTTTGTATTTATGTTGGCAGAAGTTAAGCATATTGCCAAGGTCAGGGGGAGCACTGGGCTTTACTTATACTCCTACAAATGAGGATAGATATTTGCTCTTCATTGATGAATTACGTGGCCGTCTTGTTACTCTTCTTGGAGGGCGTGCAGCAGAGGAAGTTGTTTATTCAGGTCGTGTTTCTACAGGTGCACTAGATGATATAAGGCGAGCAACTGATATGGCATACAAAGCAGTGGCTGAATATGGTCTTAATCAAACAATAGGCCCTGTGTCTTTGGCTACACTTTCTGGTGGAGGGATTGATGAATCTGGGGGAGCTTCTCCATGGGGAAGGGATCAGGTCCTTATCTTGACTGCTCTTTTCTTGCTGTGACTTATAAGTTTAGTTTAGTTCTCTCCTACGTTTTCAGATTTAGACTGATCCAAAATGGAACACACAGGGGCACCTTGTTGATCTTGTTCAAAGAGAGGTGAAAGCATTATTGCAATCTGCCCTAGATGTAGCACTTTCTGTTGTACGTGCTAATCCTACTGTTTTGGAGGGGCTTGGTGCCCACCTTGAAGGTGATAATTTTTTCCTTCAATCTGTTTGACAAATTGTGTGCGTTCTATTCTACTCTTGCCCCTTGGTGCATTTCTAGTCGGTATACTTTCTTGCCTAATTTGATTGTATATATGATTATTGAGGTGAATGATTCAAATTAGTGAAATTCCTGTGGAGGATTTTAAATGCAGATTGAGATGTAGATTTCAATATTTCTTACATGTTCTAATGCTTGTTTTATTTAGAAAATGAGAAAGTGGAAGGTGAAGAGCTACAAGAATGGTTGAAGCTGGTTGTTGCACCAAAGGAACTTTCCATTTTCCTTAGGGGCAAGCAAGAGTCTCTTCTCCCACTGGAAGTCAGCTCTGGGTGAAATACGCACAGTATTGCTTGCTAACATCAAGCCTGATGTGGAATGGGATTAACGAAAGCTCTTCATGCTACATTTTACTAACATAAAAAAAAAAAAAAACTCCTTGACAGTTGCCTTGGCTCAATTATGACTTGTATGTATCCTGCAGCAAGGTAAATTTTGACTTCATTTCTAACACAAGAGGCCTGTTCATTGTTTTGTCTCAATTCCCACAACCCTGTATTTCTAAATCACATAAAGAAATGATAATACTAAAGATTTATTCCCATCAGATCCTCAGAAATTGTCCCACAATCCTCAAATCATGTTTAATAAGTGCTGTTAGCCTGAAATATGTTGTAAATTGGCTTTTTGTTCAGGGGGTGTGCTTCTGTTGTTTTATACGGTCTTGGGGGGTAATGCACGCGTTGGGAGTGTGCTTCTGTTGTTTTAATGCTTGAACAGGGAAGGGCTCCCATCTTTGGTTTGGGCATGCTGATCTACAAGGGCAGATTCGGCTTCATGGCCTCATTTCCTTCCATGCCTTGGCAAGATTTTCCAAAGTGAATAAATAACCAATTGTGAATGCAAGATGTGTCAAATAGGTCTAAAATTAATGAATGTCCATGTACTTTGCAATTTTGTTCGTTAACATCCTTATACTTCAAAATTGTTTATGGAAGTCCTGTTATAATGTTAGTAAGGATTGTGAAATTTTATTATAAGATGATGAATAGAGTGAATTAACTCTAGTTGAATTATTAAAGATAAAGAAAAAAATATTGGTTTTTAGAATTGAAAGAATGATTGATTTTACAAATATTTAGAAAATCTATTAATTAGTTAAAGCATCAACAATTATGTGTTAAAATAATATATATTTTTCAATTTTGTACAAGTTAAAATAACATTTTTATTCTTAAGAAAAGCTTTGTTGTCTTTATAAATAAACTAGAGTAATAAAAATAAAGTTAAAATAACAATATTTAACATCTCATATAAATTAAATTAAAAAAAAAAGAGAGAACTAAATAAAAACCTTTAAATTTAGTGAGACAATTAAATTGACACAAAGAGCATAACACTCATTATGGTTCTCACACCAATGATGTTGATAATGTTAGACAATTTCTTTTTTAAATAAAAACATTAGACAATAGTTAATAAATAACCTCATTTTGGGTTAGATAAAGAAGCTAATTTTTATAATATCACATGTCAAATTTTTTTATTCAAATGATCATTTTTTCCAACTAATGCTAAGGTGATATCTTCATTTCATAACAACTAAAGTTTGTACCCTCAATTATCAGCCATATGATATAGTAGTAGGATTGCATGTACTCTATCCACAGATTTAGGATTCAATCCTATCCTTGTCACTACCAAAAAAAAAAAAGTTTGTATCCTCAATCCTTAATTTGGTGAAAGTTGATGTCCTTTTTCCTTTTTGGATGTTCGGCCAAAATAGACACTCCTCCTCGCCCGTTTAGTGGAGGATAGGCAATTCTTTATTCTCAGTGGATAACACAGTCTCCCCTTCCCTTTTCCCCTAGGCCCTCACTTCATCTTCAACCTCCAAAATCAAACAGCAATGGCTGCCTACGCAGCAACAGCCAATTCGCTTTCCTTCTTTTCTTCCTCTTTCTTCTTTTCTTCCCCTCGCCAACTCCCCAGAAAGTCTGTCCCTCTCAAAACCTCAAGAAAATACCTTTCCATCACTTCTGAGCTCGCGACCCTCCCAATTTTATCTTTCACAGGCGAGAAGATCGGCGAGACCTACCTCGACTTCAAGTCAGCCCCTCCGGAGACAGCCCACGCCGTTATTCACAGAGCAATCCTCACAGACCAACAGAACAACCGCCGCGGCACCGCCTCCACCCTTACTCGGAGTGAGGTCAAGGGCGGCGGTAGGAAGCCTTATCCCCAAAAGAAGACGGGTCGGGCTCGACGTGGGTCCATGCGCACCCCGCTTCGCGCCGGAGGTGGCGTCATCTTCGGGCCCAAACCCAAGGACTGGTCCATCAAAATCAACAGAAAGGAGAAAAGATTGGCCATTTCCACCGCATTGTCCAGTGCTGTGGAAAGCACCATTGTTGTTGAGGATTTTGGGGAGAAATTTGAAAAACCGAAGACGAAAGAGGTTATTGCAGCTATGAAGAGGTGGGGATTGGATCCTATGGAAAAGTCTGTGTTCTTTATGATGGAG